TAAAGATGGCATAACGCATTCATGGGCGCGAAGATTGGTGCACGGACTCTGTTGCATTTGTATGTCAACATGTTGATTGGTGCCCGCATGTGAGTTAACGGGAGTGCAAGTAGCAGATAACCATGGTCCAATTCTTTTATTAGACTAGACCGTACATTCCCATCTGACCAAGAGCGTTCCGCGCGCAACTATCCTTATACACTACACAGGAACGCAAGGTGACTCGGCCCTTACGAAAATGAGTTCGACTTTTCTTCAGACAACTTGCATACTTCCTGAGCTTTCAGTAAACCAAACATTTTTATAAATTGAGACTACACGTTTGCTGCATGTACCTATAGCTGTTTCGTACACAACTTATCTTGCAGAATTCGAGACTTGACTATTCAGGCTTCCGTCTCACTTCGTGCGATTGCAATCTGTGGAATGCAGGTCTTCTGTGGTCTCGATATATCAAAACTCTGCACGCCGCTAAGTTTACATATGCTCATTTTGAATGATTATTTAATTTTAACTTAGTATCCTTTCTTTAAACGTTGATTTAAGGCAGATTCATCCGCTTCAATTGACGAGTTGTAATTCTCTTACACGGGCCCCTGCTAACTTTTTAATGTAACCGTTAAATGACTTCATTCATGGAGTTACTGCCTCATTAATAGACCGCTGCGAAAATGTTTAGAATCGGTCTAGTAAAAGCGGAGTAACATAATTTTGTCGCATGCTGTAATTCCTTTCTTTTTTCTCTCGTCCCGACAGGTGCGCTGCTGTAAAAAAAGAAAGGGATGGCAGGAAAAAAAAGTTACGCCACGCGTGCGTCGTGACCACGAATGCTTTTTTTTTTTTACTTTAAGCACGCTGTTTACTTTCAGTGAGAACGCTAGTGAGCACCCGGCCACCTTGATGACTATGCAGCCCACGATGCTCAAATCGATTGATTGATATGTGGTGTTTAACGTCCCGAAACCGCCATATGATTATGAGAGACGCCGTAGTGGAGGGCTCCGGAAATTTCAACCACCTGGGGTTCTTTAACGTGCACCCGAATCTGTGCACACGGACCTACATCATTTTCGCCTCCATTAGAAATGCAGCCGCCACAGCCGGGATTCGATCCCGCGACCTGCGGGTCAGCAGCCCAGAACCTTAGCCACTAGACCACCGCGGAGGGGCCGCGATGCTCAAATCAGCCAATTGCTTTGAGTTTAGTGATATGACGTGATCATTTGAGTATATGGCATCATTTGTAAAAAAATGGGGAATAATTTGAAGCTTAATTTGAAAATTAATAGTAAATTCCAGGTCCCGTGCTGCATTATGTTTGGCTCGCATGTTCACATGACCCCCCACTACCGATCGGCAGCGCTTTCTGGCTATGTTGAAAATGTTGCGGGTAAGATAGCTAGACACACCAGTGAACTTAGTTGGGCTAGTCTGTTCTGCATATCAACGATGTGGATGCGCTTCGAAGACGTGTACTGGGGGCATCACATATACACGCTCGAAGTATGTTGCACAGGGCATGCGTAATACAAACTACTGGGCACTCAAAAATCAAGTATATCTTGCTTGGATAACGTCAATAACGTCATGCTAAAACATGATTCTGCACGTTCACCTTTTTATTTGGCTTGTAAACTGTGTCTCGCCGACTGATTATGATTGCGGAATGTGACGGTGCACCGATAAAATTTCAGGGTGCATGAGCACTTTTAGCAGTGAGTGGCGAGATATCCGTTAAAGGCGCTATTGACATCAATACTGCTGTCGTAGTGGGCGCTTTGCAACGGCATTCTAGACACTTTTAAAACGGCCAGTGTTACGCGCACTGACGCTCTTTTCTGAGCGGTGCAGTTTAGGTTAACAAGACGCCTTGTTGAGCCATTTGGTGCTAGCTACTCTTAAGATGTGGCTAATGGTTACAGGTTATTATTTGGGCCATTTGGTGCTAGCTACTCGTAAGATGTGGCTAATGCTTACAGGTTTTAAAAAGAAGCTAAAGCGTTCTCTGAATTTTCGGTTTGTTTCTTTGTTTGTTTGTTTGTTTGTTTGTTTGTTTGTTTGTTTGTTTGTTTGTTTGTTTGTTTGTTTGATGTTTTTTTGTCAGGGAATATGTTTCAGTGATTGGTTGGTAAGAACTTTATTGTGGTAATAACTTTATTGTTCGGTGATTTTATTTGAAATATAAATTTTTAAATTGCGTGCGGTATGCATACAAACGCAAGTTGGGCGAGTTTAAAAGTCATCGGTGGAACCAGCAACGCCGAAACAAAATAATAACCTGATGGTAACTGATGGTGATATACTAGGGCACCTATTCGACTGTTTTGACATTTCCTTGTCTGGAGGGTAACTTCACTTTTTTTTCACTTTTCCGGCTCATGGCTCAACTTAAAGGGCCACTCACGACCCCGTGTTTAAAGACGAAGCAATGATTTTCTCCTCTCCTTCATACACACCATGCACCATCCTCGCCCCTTAGTTCTTGAATGCACGTGAACAATATCAGCACTAAGCGCTAGAGTCTATCGGGATTTCGCGCTTATCGTCTGCACGCTGTTATTGCCGCTTGCACAGTTGTAAACCCCCCAAAGATTGAGGTTTGATCGGTTGATTGTGCACGACATTCATGCGAGACAAAGAAGAATGGATGGGCGGCTGTATGGCAAAATAGTGCAGAAGACAAATTGCGTGTAATATTTCGCGTATATCAATAAATAGAGAGTATGTACGCTGTAGACGTCACGGGAACTACTGTCTACGTCGTAGTAGTGCGCCAAGAAGGACGAGAAATATCGGGAAAGAATATCGTGCTCTTATTTTATCTTTTGGAAGCCTGGTGAGTGGCCCTTTAATGCACGCATCCAACGCACATCAAATTAATCATTCTGCCACCAGTGATTGTCTTACGTGTTGGTTAATCTATGCGAGTTATTTGGGGCAACTAACGCTGTCTGATAAAATTTCAGGATGCCGCAGCAATCGACACACAGGCGGAATACCGGGAACACTCAGCCCGAAGAAAAAACAACACGGAGGAGGTAAAGTTGACTGGAAATAGGAATGCCAAGACCAATGTAGCTTTAGTTTTTTTAAGACTGTCATGCCTCTCTCTCTTTCTCCCTCTCAGCAGCACCAGGAAAACCAAACACGTCGTACTGTCGCACTGGGCGGCGGCATCGCCAACATATCTAGCAAGACAACATTCTCACCAGGCACACATGCGAACCGACGGAATAGCCGCGCGACAGTGCTTGGCGACTGGCGCGGAGTCGAAGGTTTCCAGGGGCCACATTCAAGAGGCCTCTACCTAGCTCAAGCAACAGCACCGAGTGCCCTCAAGACCACAAACACTTGAATCGACGTCGAAGGAGGAACCGGACACAAAAATCCCAATCAGCAGTGTCATCGTTCCCCGAAAACGGCAGTGTACGGGGATCACGCAACTCCCGAGCAAAGCGCATATTCCTCAGGAGACGGCGGCGATGATGGTGGTTGGTTTGAAAAGACAATCAACTTTGCATGACCCAGTGCAATCACTGTTCTACAGCCACGCCTCTGCAGCTGGGTGCAATTTATGGCACAATGACAATATCAAACTCGCGGAACGCGCAAGGATCTTGTCAATTTATAGCGGGCCAAATTTCGCCATACCGTGAGTTCAAAACGCTAAGCGTCACACCAGAATTTATAACCAGTCAACAACCTTCTTAGACTTTCAGCTTTGTGACAATGGGAGGTGCCAAGGCCAGCAGACCGGAGGAATGACGGCTGCCAAGTAAACTAAGTAAACTGTCTCGACAGTAACGTCGCCCCCTTTGCCCACGTGAAGACACACGACAAGTGTGTAGAAGCCTCTCAAAATGTATTTGCAGGCCGGCAAACCTCGAAGGGGTACCTCCTGCTACCGAATCACTAACGTGTTGCTCACTTCCACAGCAAGTCCGACCGTCTCTACTGCGAACAAACAACGACGAGGCGCTTGGAAGTCAAGGAATCATTCGAACAATACTCCTGTGCGTCTGACACTGAACAAGACTGGCAGTGCATCCTGGCAGAGAGCACTATCCTGCCGGCCGACCTCGAGAGAACAGAGAGATGGGTTCACGCTCAGTACCCTCTCGTAGCGTAGTCTTTTCGCGTGGACAGCGGGGCCTACCCCGTCTTTCTTTTCAGAGACGATGACACACCTCCGCAACGAGAAGCGCAGACCATTTAAACTCGCAACCAGCAAGCGAAAAGAGACATCGCGCGTAGCAACGCTAAAACAGTGTCACTGAATGTGAAAAGCTCGACAGGCGCATTCGTAGACACCTCCTCCGAAGACAGTTCAACGCCGCTAGACAGCAAGCAACTGCATTTCATGCCACGAAGCGCTTCGCGCAAACACCAGGTAGCAATTAAAAGTTACTAAGAAATCATTGAAGAAGAAAAGGCAAAACAGGGTGCAAGTTCGTCGCCAATAAAAAACTTCACAGTGCTTCTTTAATCAAGCCTGCTATGACACTACAGGCAGCACGTACCAAACAAACGACACCGGCGCCCAATTTGGACATCGTACATAGTTGCTTGGGCAAGACAGCATATTTGGTTACGATGAAATACTTAAATTTGATGAAAGCAGAAACTGCGAGCCCATCGAAGACATGGATTCCGACTGTCAAGTGTACCAGCCTAAGAAGGAAACGACGCCGCTGGATGACTTCGGTTACATGCATAGAACCCACGTCTGCACTGGAACTTGCCGGAAACACACAAATAAAGAAGTACGTTCTTTGCCAAAATTGAGGTCGAAGATGACGAGAAACACCTGCCTGGACCGCTTACAGAACGCAGGACGACAAAATGAAACTTGTCAAGAAAATCATTGTCAGCCAATTCGGGACGGAAGTGGCAACCAAACTGATTGGACAGAACAGTTCAAGCACGGCGCGTAGCCGCGTGTTCGAACGTCATTGCTCTAAAATGCCAAAAGGTTAGACGATGCCAAAGGTGAGGCCAAAATGCATTTCGACTCCTGCGAAGAAAGGCCCTCGACAACATCGTCCTCGCAGATGACGGGAAACCGGGAGATTGGTACAACAAAAGGACTACGGAATGAAGCTTGTGAAGCCCAGCGTAATCCTTACATAAAGAAAGGCAGTAGAGACGAAAAACTTTCTTCAGAGGCGCTCAGGCATGATTCTCAGCAACGTATTCAAGTTGCCACGTTCAGAAATACCGGGAAGCTAGCCGATGCCACTAGCCAGAAGACACCGTTCCACACCTGCAGCAGCCAACTCAGCGAGGAGGCAGGTGAACCACCCAATGACAACTGGTGTAGTCCTGCGGCACACCCACTGCCGCTGATGCCCCAGATTAAACCACAGGAAAGGCGAGTAGCTTGCTTTCCCATTCGGAAAAATGCAGCATTTCTGAGTGGCTTTTAAAAATCGGCCATGCCAATTATCTATTTTCCACGCGTGCATGCGTGACCGCATCTTCACGAATCATCATCGCAGGGTCTAAAAGTAACGGATGTCAGAGCATAGTGTGCGTGGATCTGGCTCTTCTTAGCACGTGCTATGCGACAAGCAGTAATTAATAAATAACGACGAACGAAAAGGTTTAGAACTGCAGCGACTAGGTGTTGGCACGTCGTTTACAGTCCAGAACGAATTCGCACACACTTCATTTCTACAGAGATGCTTGTCACTAGAATGGAGCCATGTTCGCTTTTACGTACAGCATTTTCATTGCCCGGCGCTAGTTCTTAAGAAGTTAGGAATGACTGCATGCAAACCCCGAAATTGTGTTGTAAATACCTGCTACGGTGCTTGATAAATATCCCAGCTGGTAAAATTATTATAATGACTTGCAATGGGCTATCATGTGGAAGCAAATTAACATTTTAATAATTCCACCGTTTTTTTTCAATGTTTTCTCTGTAAAGGAACAACAGCCTGAGATCCCTTCACAGCGATTGGTTCTACACCAACGGCATGACCATGGTTCCGATGCTGCAGAACCAGGCTAGCCACAACGTTATGCTCACTAGCGGCATCTCGCACCGTTCTCCGACCAATTATTTGGATGGTGAGCTTTCACCAAGTCAAAACTCGCAACGTGTTGCGCTGAAACTCGCCTTGTCTGTACGTGCTCCCAATAAGAAATCCAGCGAACGTATTTGATCACAGCTATATTTCAATACGCAGTTCTGCTATGGCTACAGAGGCATTTCGTATTGGTCTAATAATTAATCAAACAACTAAACGTGCCATCGAACAAGCGCGATAAATTACTAATGACAAACAATAAAATAAAGACAGTCTACAGAAAAAAGTAGGAGCAAAAAGAAGGGGGAAATAAGACAACAGGGCAACATAGAATAACAGAACAGAAGAAATACAGAAGGTCAGTGCTAAATACAACTTAGACTACACAAATCACAAGCTTCAATGAATGAAAAATAAGCATAAAAGAATTTGTAAATTGTGTGACTCAAAATATGTGCTAAAACAGCGTTCTACAGCAAAACTTGGAAGAAAACTATCAGCCAGATCTATAAAAGCACCGAGATCAAAAAGTAACACTTTTTTTTTTGAAACTTTCTATGCTGTAAATGGTTGAGTGTGGGCAGAGACAGGCGGGTATAGATCAAATCGACCTATGCTCTCCAGCCCCGCCGCAGTGGTCTAGTGGCTAAGGTACTCGGCTGCTGACCCGCAGGTCGCGGGATCGAATCCTGGCTGCGGCGGCTGCATTTCCGATGGAGGCGGAAGTGATGTAGGCCCGTGTGCTCAAGTTTGGGTGCACGTTAAAGAACCCCACGTGGTCAAAATTTCCGGAGCCCTCCACTACGGCGTCTCTCATAATCATACGGCGGTTTTGGGACGTTAAACCCCACATATCAATCAATCAACCTATGCTCTCCAGTTTTTTTACGCAGAATTCGAAAAATAGTGAAACAGCTCACGGCAGGCAGACCACTGTGATTTTGGCAGTAGAGCGACAACAATGACGCAACCCTGCAGTTCAACAACAACAACAATAATAATAATAATAATAATAATAATAATAATAATAATCGCATCCCCTGTGGCACATACCCGCTCTAGAGCGAGTATGTGCCACCAGTGGCTGCATACAAGGGATGGACAGACCCACGCCTTAAGGAGCTTCGCCCCTAAAAATTGCCAGACAAATACCGATCGCTAATGTCTACATGCGCTGCAAGAACGTTTCTTAAGCTACGATTAGAAAAGGAACATACGGATTTGCCCAAACATTTAAAGTTCGTCTCAGGAAATCAATCAAAACCAAATGAATATACTATCAAAAATATAACAATCATAATTTACTTTGACTATCTGTAAGTTAACACAGTACGTGTCATCATGCGCTTAGAAAAGTGTTATTGCTTGTAAATTTAGGCTAGCCAACTCAGGTACTATGTAATAGATAATCATTTTCATCTGATACAAGAACAAGATTTTGTGGCGTGATAGTTCTCTCAATAATAAATATTCCAAGGAACACGGTGTACTGGCAAGTTCGTGGTAGGACCCAAATGCGCTGTGTGTCATCGCAATGTTTCGTGTCATTCTTGTCCATTTCCTCTTCGTTGAAGTGTGCTACTTCACCTACACGGTGTGATGAGTATAACCAATCACCAACTAGCCCAGTCTACAACCTTACTGTATCTCGTATTAGATTTGCAATTCTTTGCAACACTGCCCGAACCTCGGAGTCATGTAGCATTAACTAATCAGTATAATTATTCTGAACACCATATCTTAGCAAGCATGCCGGATAAATACCGCGCTACTTCGAACATTTTCTTAATTTCTAATCATGTAGGAAGTAGGATTTTGGGTCTATGTATTTCTACGTTCGTACTTTCAATTATAGCATCTTTCTGTTCAGCGCTGGGGCTTCCGAGCAGGGCATGTATGTATGGCAAGTTGTTTGAAAATGCTTTCCTGCTCACGGTTTCCACTAAGCTATTTTTTACATTTCTGCAAGTGATACACATATTATGCGCATGTCTGTGGCGAGCCTGTGTGTTTTTACCAGTGAGTTAGCTTTTTATCATGTTATCCTGCGAATTACCGCTCGCGAATTCCCAAAGGTTTTCCTGCGGACGATGGCTGTCACGCAGACGGCCTGGACCCTCTACGCGTGACGAGTAGCGGCCGCATGCGGCCCTCCAGCAAGGCGTTCTCCTTCAGCATACAAAGGCAACGCTGGTACAGCATCCCCAATATGCACGCTGAGCGAGCCTTCTATGCCGCTATCGCGTGGTCTGACTGCGTGATCGTATTCAGCGGGCTCGGCCTAGCTGGGTTGAAAGTATAACGCTCCAGTCACCGATTGCGATTAACATTAAGCGGTCCAAACCTGTAACTACGTTTGTACTTGAGAACGCAGAAAAGCAACACAGCGGTAGATGATCACGTGCATGGGCTACTCATTTCAAATATTCTATGGATCCCGGCTGTGGCGGCTGCATTTCCGATGGAGGCGGAAATGTTGTAGGCCCGTGTACTCAGATTTGGGTGCACGTTAAAGAACCCCAGGCGGTCAAAATTTCCGGAGCCCTCCACTACGGCGTCTCTCATAATCAAATGGTGGTTTTGGGACGTTAAACCTGACATATCAATCAAATATTCTATGGGGCGCAATATCTCACAGTACTACCGCACAACTCACGCTGCCTTTCTTTCAAATTGACGCAAGAACAACGGCCCCTCCTTGTGACGTGAACATGAAAATATCACATTCACATTGGCGCTGACAAGCAAGAGATGTCCCTTGCACCATCCTATTTTACCTTACATAGATGCAACCTTTAAATACGTCTAAAAACCTTTGAAATAGCACATTAGAGCTCACGTAGAAAAGATGTTCACTGCATCGTCTTTATATATTTAGCTGACATGGATCTTTCTGGATAAATGGTAAGAAGGCAAGGAACCCATCTAAGTAACCTCATCGACTGTCAGACACGATAATGAAGGAAAAGCTGGATTTGCGAAAATTTTGCACGATAGCTACTGCCCAAGTGTTCCGGCAGCACTTGACAAGGATGACTAATTACGCAGAACGAGCGCCGAACCCAAGTACGCTGGTGACGCCTTCGAGCGAACGTTGAAGAGACTAGCACATGAACGAACCGTGTGAATTCAACACTCGGCGAGGCGCCTCTCCCGGCTAACGCGAACGCAAATTTAAGACAGGAGTACTCTTGTTTAGCGTGTTTGGTTGATTTGATTGATTTGTGGGGTTTAACGTCCAAAACCACCATATTGCCACGTTCCATTTCCCAAGTTTTTGTTATCGTCCGAAAACACCGCACGATTCTCAGCGCAAACCGCGCCTGCAGTTTTCTAGAAGGTTCCGGACTGTAGTAGATCATTTCGATAAGATCACGCCCACTGTGCGAACGGTACAGATTGTTCTGAAAGCTACGCCACCGCCAGCGATAACGCTAGAACATTCGACGGCAAGAGTATAAATGCCGACGCGCTTCGCCGCTTGTCAGTAGTTGATCGAAGGCCGACGCTCCGTTCGCCGCTATCAGTCCGAGACTGCTATCTGTGCGAGACTGCTGCTGTAATTGGACTTTCAGTTTACCGGGCACAGGTTCGCCCAAATAAACAGTTAAATCCTAACACGAAGTCTCCTGTCTTCGGCCACGTCACGACCCCGTGACATCTGGTGGAGGTGCTGCTTCGTTCATGTACCGGACGCCCCCGTCAAGCCGTGAACCCAGCCCACGTCGCGGAGAAGACACCGACACCAACCAGGAGCAGCGAACAAGCCGCCGACAGCAAGGGCTACCACCGGAGTACGGGCTTCTACCAGACAAGCCGCGGAAGACGAAGGCCATGACGGCGACTGCAGCGACAATGACAACCGCAGCGTCCCAGCCCACGATGGTCATGCATCAACCCAGGGAACCACCAATTTTCCATGGGTCATCGTTCGAAGACCCGGAGTCCTGGCTGGAGACATACGACCGTGTGGCCGCCCTCAACCACTGGGACCATGACGAAAAGCTGCGTCGTGTGTTCTTCTATTTGGAAGACACCGCAAGGACTTGGTTTGAAAATCGGGAGTCCACGCTCCGAACGTGGGATGTTTTCTGCGGCGCATTCCTTCAAACGTTCGCGAGCGTCGCTCGCAAAGAGAGGGCCGCTGCTTTATTAGAGACTCGGGTTCAGCTACCAAATGAAAATGTCGCCATTTTCACAGAAGAAATGACCCGACTATTTCGTCACGCTGATCCAGACATGCCTGAGGAGAAAAAAGTTCGTTTCCTCATGCGAGGGGTCAAACAGGAGCTCTTCGCGGGACTGATGAGAAACCCACTGATAACCGTCCAAGAATTTGTAGCAGAAGCGACCACTATCGAAAAGACCCTGGACATGCGCACCAGACAGTATAATCGTCGCCTGACTGCAGACTGCGCTGCTGCTCAAGCCAGTAACTCCGGAGACCTGCGTGAAACGATCCGAGCGATCGTGCGGGAAGAGCTGCGCAAGCTGTTGCCTTCGGCCCAGCCTCAAGTGGATTCAATTGCCGACATTGTGCGAGAAGAAGTTCGGCAATCGCTTCAAATTCCCCACGCACCACTACCCGAGCCGGAAGCTATGAGCTACGCCGCTGCACTGCGCCACAACGCTCCTCCCCGTCCACGCCAAAACGCCGCCCCATCGCACTTCCGTCGACAGACGCCACCGCCGCCACCACCCCCACCGACGTCATACCGTTCGCCAGCGGCCCAGCGCAGTGCACCGAGGAAGACTGACGTCTGGCGCACCCCTGACCATCGCCCGCTCTGCTACCACTGCGGCGAGGCCGGACACACATACCGCCGTTGCCAGTACCGACAGATGGGACTGCGTGGCTTCGCCGTCAATGCACCGCGTCCACAGCCAGGAGAACGACCACGTGACATCGCCGACTACCTGACAGGAACTCGGTGGACACCACGAAGCCCTTCGCGTTCGCCGTCGCCCAGCCGCCGCACGTCACCGCACCACCGGCAGTACTCTGGCCCAACGCGGGGCCGGTCTCCTAGCCCGTATCCGGGAAACTAAGGGCAGCAACCGGTGGAGGTGCGGTTGCTGTGCGACGAACTACCGAAGATCCTCCGACGACGACGACGCCGCGACGGAGCTTTCCGAACACAACGCCAGCCAGGCAAAGCCCTGACGGCGAAAGCTCATTTACCGAAGGTGGCCTGACGACGCAGCATGGAAGCAGCGGAACAAGCCGACGCAGCCGTGACCCGACGCCACGCCCTAACTGTAATGCGAGACGGCGAACTAGCGACCTCGACGTTCTTATCGACGGCCACAGTGTGACTGCTCTCGTCGATACTGGAGCCGACTATTCTGTCATCAGTGGGTCGTTCGCCGCGAAGTTAAAGAAAGTTAGGACAGCTTGGAAAGGCCCTGAAATCCGCACAGCCGGAGGTCATCTCGTAACGCCTGCAGGAATCTGCACAGCGAGAGTCACCATTAACGGCCGTATTTATCCTACAGACTTCGTAGTCCTACAGCGTTGCTCGAGAGATGTCATCCTTGGCATGGACTTCTTATGCCTCCATGGTGCTGTCATTAACCTAAAAACAAAGTCGATAACGTTATCCACAGAAGAAGCACTACCGCCGCGCACGCCGTCAGGACACCATGCCTTGAATGTGCTGGAAGAACAAGTCACCATTCCGCCTCGCTCAAGCGTCATTATTTCAGTCGGCGCTCATAAATCACCTGACTTGGAAGGCGTCGTTGAAGGCAGTCAGCATCTGTTGGTCACCCGAAATATTTGCGTCGCAAGAGGAATTGCAGAGCTGCGGGGAGGCAAAGCAACGGTTTTGCTCACGAATTTCAGCAATGAGTACAAACATGTGAACAAAGGAACAACGGTCGCATATATCGAAGAAATTGTCGAAGCCACCAGTGCTTTCGCCCTCGCCGATTCTGCGGAACCTGCTCAGAGGAACCAAGCCCCTCCCATAGCTTTCGACGTCAATCCCAGACTTCCGAACGATAAGCAAGAACAGCTCAAGGCCCTGCTCCTGTAATACGAGGATTGCTTTTCGTCGTCATCGAAAATTCGGCAGACCCCAATCACGAAACATCGCATCATAACCGAAGAAAATGCCAGACCACTCCGTCAGAGTCCGTACAGGGTTTCGACGCGAGAACGTGAGGCCATGAAGAGACAAGTTGATGAAATGCTGCGGGATGACATTATCCAGCCGTCCAAGAGTCCATGGGCATCCCCCGTGGTGTTAGTGAAGAAAAAGGATGGGACCCTACGTTTCTGCGTCGATTATCGCCGCCTGAACAAAATCACAAGAAAGGACGTGTATCCCCTCCCACGAATAGACGACGCACTTGATCGGCTCCATAACGCCAAGTACTTTTCGTCAATGGACCTTAAGACTGGCTATTGGCAAATCGAAGTCGACGAAAGAGACCGAGAGAAGACGGCGTTCATAACACCGGACGGCCTTTTCGAGTTTAAGGTGATGCCCTTCGGCCTTTGCTCAGCGCCTGCAACGTTTCAACGCGTTATGGATACAGTACTGGCAGGATTGAAGTGGCAGACTTGCCTTGTGTACTTGGACGACGTCGTCGTGTTTTCCTCGAGTTTCGACGAGCATCTTCGGCGCCTTGAAGCTGTACTTCAAGCCATCAAGACTTCCGGACTCACACTGAAGCCAGAAAAGTGCAGATTTGCGTATGAGGAGCTCTTGTTTCTGGGGCACGTTATCAGCAAGTCTGGAGTTCGTCCCGATCCACGGAAAACAGCCGCCATCGCCGACTTCCCGCCGCCCACTGACAAGAAAGCCGTGCACCGATTTCTGGGCCTGTGTGCCTATTATAGGCGGTTCGTGAAAAACTTCGCCCGCATCGCCGATCCTCTCACTAACCTTACCAAGGCCGACGTGGAGTTTAAGTGGGAAACGCCGCAGGAACATGCTTTCCAGGAGCTTAAACATCGCCTTCAGACGCCTCCGTTACTTGCCCATTTCGACGAATTCGTCGAGACAGAAATACATACTGACGCAAGCAGCGTAGGTCTTGGCGCCGTTCTTGTACAGAGGGCTGACGGACTTGAAAGGGTTATTAGTTACGCCAGCCGATCGCTATCCAAAGCAGAAGCAAATTATTCCACAACAGAAAAGGAGTGCCTCGCCATCATCTGGGCTACGTCGAAATTTCGCCCCTACCTCTACGGCAGGCCCTTCAAAGTTGTGAGCGACCACCACGCATTGTGTTGGCTAGCCACCTTGAAGGACCCCTCAGGTCGCCTCGCACGATGGAGCCTGAGACTTCAAGAATATGACATTACTGTCATTTACAAGTCCGGCAAAAAAACACTCCGACGCCGACTGTCTCTCTCGTGCACCTGTCGACCAACCGCTACCCGACGACCCGGATGACGACTACTTCTTAGGAACGATAACTACCGACGACTTCGCTGAACGACAGAGGGCCGACCCGGAACTAAAGGCCCTAATAGAATACCTCGAAGGCAGGACCGCCGAAGTCCCGAAGATATTCAAGCGCGCACGTGCGTCGTTCTTTCTACGAAACGGTCTTCTACAAAAGAAAAACTTTTCACCGTTTCGAGCTAAGTACCTTCTTGTGGTGCCTTCAGCTCTGCGACCAGAACTCCTGCAGGCCCTTCACGACGATCCGACGGCAGGGCACCTCGGTGTTTCTCGCACGCTCGCGAGGATACAAGAAAGGTACTACTGGCCACGTCTTACCACCGACGTCACTCGTTATGTGAGAGCATGCCGGGACTGTCAGCGACGCAAGACACCGCCGACAAGGCCAGCGGGACTTCTGCAGCCAATTGATCCACCTTGCCGACCTTTCCAGCAGATTGGTATGGACCTACTGGGGCCGTTCCCGACGTCGGCTTTCGGAAACAAGTGGATCGTGGTAGCTACCGACTACCTCACCCGCTACGCCGAGACAAAAGCCCTGCCAAAAGGCAGTGCATCCGAAGTAGCTAAATTCTTCGTCGAAAATATCGTCCTACGTCATGGCGCCCCAGAGGTCCTTATCACCGACAGAGGAACGGCATTCACTGCCGACTTAACTCAAGCAATCTTGGCATACAGCCAAACAAACCACCGCCGGACGACAGCGTACCACCCACAGACCAACGGCCTCACCGAGCGGCTTAACAAGACGATCGCCGACATGCTGTCAATGTACGTCGATGTCGAACACAAGACGTGGGACGCCATTCTTCCGTATGTGACCTTCGCATACAACACGGCGGTGCAGGAGACGACGCAGATATCTCCATACAAATTGGTCTACGGAAGGAGCCCGGCAACGACGCTCGATGCCATGTTACCCAACGTCACCGACGAAGAAAACCTCGATGTGAGCGAGTACCTTCAACGCGCCGAAGAAGCCCGACAACTTGCGCGTCTCCGTATCAAGAATCAACAGACGACCGACAGCCACCGTTACAACCTTCGACGACGCTTCGTGGAATACCAGCCCGGTGAACGTGTTTGGGTGTGGACGCCGATACGCCGACGTGGACTAAGTGAAAAGCTTCTGCGACGGTACTTCGGACCGTACAGGGTGGTTCGACGGCTCGGCCCACTTGATTACGAGGTTGTCCCCGACGGCATCACGAACTCTCAACGACGCCGATCGCGACCTGAAGTCATCCATGTCACGCGCCTCAAGCCGTTTCATGCGCGTTAACTAACTGAACTAGTGTTTTTTTTGTATTATTGTTGTATCGTAATTTATTCATTGTACTTTCTTGCATTATTATTGTACTTTCATCTTTAGTTAAAGCATCGGGACGATGCCTTTTTTCAGAGGGGGGCAATGCCACGTTCCATTTCCCAAGTTTTTGTTATCGTCCGAAAACACCGCACGATTCTCAGCGCAAACCGCGCCTGCAGTTTTCTAGAAGGTTCCGGACTGTAGTAGATCATTTCGATAAGATCACGCCCACTGTGCGAACGGTACAGATTGTTCTGGAAGCTACGCCACCGCCAGCGATAACGCTAGAACATTCGACGGCAAGAGTATAAATGCCGACGCGCTTCGCCGCTTGTCAGTAGTTGATCGAAGGCCGACGCTCCGTTCGCCGCTATCAGTCCGAGACTGCTATCTGTGCGAGACTGCTGCTGTAATTGGACTTTCAGTTTACCGGGCACAGGTTCGCCCAAATAAACAGTTAAATCCTAACACGAAGTCTCCTGTCTTCGGCCACGTCACGACCCCGTGACAATATTATTATGAGAGACGCCGTAGTGGGGGGCTCCGGAAATTTTGACCACCTGGGGTTCTTTAACGTGCACCCAAATCTGAGCACACGGGCCTCGACATTTCCGCCTCCATCGGAAATGCAGCCGCCGCAGCCGGGATTTGAACCCGTGACCTGCGGGTCAGCAGCCGAGTACCTTAGCCACTAGACCACCGCGGCGGGGCGTTTAGCGTGTTTGGCTTTGGTGACTTCCGCTTCATCACCGAAACGTTTTTCCACAACCGCAAGGTGAAAACCGACACGAAATAATACTTACTGCGGCTAAAGTGGCTCCACCACTACCGCCTTCGGGTTTCGGGTAACCTCCTCACAAATGCGTCCCCGTGACAGCCCTTTGCGCAGTGCAGAGATCTACTCCAGCAGGACCGACCAGTGGACGCTCTTTCACCCGATGCCCAAGGCGCTCATGGGCATGGCGGTCGTGACGGTCGACAACAGCATCTGGATCTTTGGAGGCCTCACTCGAGGCAGCGAAGGCTCCAGCATTGAGGACGGGACCTACGTTTTCGATCCGCGAATGAACGCGTGAGTGTGTGAACATTTATGGCATTCCCCAAAGACAGCCGCCTAAAGTGAAATGGAGCGTTTAGAATTATTGTGCTATTTTGTAGGCTTGGTACAACATCAACGGCGTATTTTTTTTCCAGAATGAATGAATGAATGAATGAGTTGGATGGAATCGGTGGGAAGGTTCGTGGATGGGCACAGGTGAATAGATAATGCCTTAGGTGGCTCAATGTCAACAGGAAATCTGTACGTAAATTTTGACAGTTTGATTGATTTGTGGGGTTTAACGTCCCAAAACCACCATATGATTATGAGAGACGCCGTAGTGGAGGGCTCCGGAAATTTCGACCACCGGGGGTTCTTTAACGTGCGCCCAAATCTGAGCACACGGGCCTACATCACTTCCGCCTCCATCGGAAATGCAGCCGCCGCAGCCGGGATTTGAACCCGTGACCTGCGGGTCAGCAGCCGAGTACCTTAGCCACTAGACCACCGCGGCGGGGCGTTTAGCGTGTTTGGCTTTGGCGACTTCCGCTTCATCACCGAAACGTTTTTCCACAACCGCAAGGTGAAAACCGACACGAAATAATACTTACTGCGGCTAAAGTGGCTCCACCACTACCGCCTTCGGGTTTCGGGTAACCTCCTCACAAATGCGTCCCCGTGACAGCCCTTTGCGCAGTGCAGAGATCTACTCCAGCAGGACCGACCAGTGGACGCTCTTTCACCCGATGCCCAAGGCGCTCATGGGCATGGCGGTCGTGACGGTCGACAACAGCATCTGGATCTTTGGAGGCCTCACTCGAGGCAGCGAAGGCTCCAGCATTGAGGACGGGACCTACGTTTTCGATCCGCGAATGAACGCGTGAGTGTGTGAACATTTATGGCATTCCCCAAAGACAGCCGCCTAAAGTGAAATGGAGCGTTTAGAATTATTGTGCTATTTTGTAGGCTTGGTACAACATCAACGGCGTATTTTTTTTTTCCAGAATGAATGAATGAATGAGTTGGATGGAATCGGTGGGAAGGTTCGTGGATGGGCACAGGTGAATAGATAATGCCTTAGGTGGCTCAATGTCAACAGGAAATCTGTACGTAAATTTTGACAGTTTGATTGATTTGTGGGGTTTAACGTCCCAAAACCACCATATGATTATGAGAGACGCCGTAGTGGAGGGCTCCGGAAATTTCGACCACCGGGGGTTCTTTAACGTGCGCCCAAATCTGAGCACACGGGCCAATTTTGACAGTTTATAGATATGCTTCAAGCTTATCTGCATTACGAAATTGCTAGTTTATTTGTATGTTTCCGTACGCATGTGCGCTTACGTATTAGTTATGAAAGTGTTGATTACAACGTTAAAATGTTGGTTGCTAAATTTGGTAGTCCATTGACTTGTTGATGTCAATTGTACGTATAATGACCAGCTAGTAATACGGCTTAACCAGTAGCTACTAGCTTGCCACAGACACACACACAGACACACACACACACACGCGCGCGCGCGCGCACGATATTTTTTTATTTGTTAAGCTTTCTTTCCCGTTGAAGTACGCCAAAACAGCGACGGCTATAATTGGTGAAAGGAAGCACTATTTTCTGATGCCTGGTGATGGAGTGACTAGCAGGATGAATGCTGTGCTTTACTAATGTACCCTGCAGCTAGATCAACCACTCACCCATGACAATCAAGAGAGCATTCGCCTCAGCTGTGTCCATGCAACGCGACATCTGGCTCGTGGGCGGTATTGTCCACGTGCCGCCTTGCCCATGCCAATGTTCTCCGTTCAGATCGTCAAAACAGGCGAGTAAAGCTTACTATGAAAATATGGTCGTCTATAGGACTTTGGAATAGCCAAGAGGTAAAAATAGCAGCCGGTACCACAGTTTGATCGAGGTGAAGTGCTTAAAGCGCGAGCATCGCCCCATCGACACAAAACTTCATTGGGCGTATCAATTTTGACGTTGTAACTAAACCGAACAACAAAATACAAAAAACTATGGACCATCTCCCCGAAGGGAACCCTGATGGGATGATAAGCAGCAGCGGTGCGCGCGGCGTTGACCAGGTTGAAACGGGCGTCGACGTGGGTGCTGGAAGAACGGTTTGAAGCGAAACTCGGTCTAGCGTTTGCTCGAGTAAACTTTTGTTCCAACCTCAAAGACACGGGGGGGGGGAGGGGGGTGCGTTGAAGACGCTTTCGCTCTGCTTCCTTGGATCGCGTCTCGTCGGTGTTACCCGCACGCCGTCTGTGTTCTCGAACGCAATTGGTGTTCTTGACTAGCACCTCATCGGTGTCGCTGGTCCTGCACTGCCAACGCCTGCGTTCGGCTTCCCTGACGCGCGCCTCGTCGGTGTTAACGTCGCCCCTCGTGAATGCTATCGGCTTCGCTAACCCACGCAACGCCGGCAACAGCCGAAAAAGGTACAGGTGCGATCAAAAGTGCACATACCACGGAATCGCATGGCAGAATGCATCGACGCGCAAGCTAGCGACGTGACACGATGAGACACCTGCTGCAGGGCCAATTCGCGTCCCGTCTTATCATTTGGCTTCTGATGTCGCTCTGTTGGACGCGGTTACGGCGCTCGTAGCCAAAACGACAATTGGATGTCGCTTTCTTTGCTCGATTGAATCTGTGCCGTTCTTTCACGTAGCGGCTGTGACGGGGCCGGTTCAAGCGCCACCTCGCGTTGTTATTGACACCGATTGATTAGTATAAGCAAGCATAGCGAGCATCGCACAAGCTCACGAAGCCAAACGCACAAAATTTAATTTTCTCGGGCCAGCTTCTCATCGTCGGGCTAATCCAAGTTGAACTTAAATGAGCTTAGTTAAGTCAAAGTTAATGTAGCCGAAATTAATCAAATGTAGTTGACCACTTTATGACCTAAATAAGTCAGGAGTAAGTAGGTTTAGTTAAGCCCATTTCAGCTTAGTGATTTCATGTTAAGCGAAGTTAGGCTTAGATGAGCCCAGATGAGTCGAAATAAGTAAAGCCAAATCTAATTAGGCAAAGTTGATCATGGTCATCCTTAACCTAGCTGTGAAAAATTAGCCTATACAAGGCAAACCTGATCACGGCCAATTTATCTATGTCGACTTCCTCATGAGCCCACAGAAGTCAAGGCCAGGAAAATACTAATTACTCTTTACCGACTCCGTATGTATTAAAATAAATTGTCTAATTATCGCTAATTAGACGTAAATTATCTAATTTAGGTCATAAAGCGCTCGACTACATTCGATTAGTTTCGGCTACATTGGCTTTGACTGAACTAAGCTCATTTAAGTGCAACTTGGATTAGCCCGACAAAGGCAAGCTGGCCTGAGAAAATTTATTTTGTGCGTTTGGCTTCATCAGGTTGTGCGATGCTCACTATGCTTACTTATACTAATCAACTGCTGTCGATGACAACGCGAGCTGACGCTTGAATTGACCCCGTCGCAGCATCTACGTAAGAAAACGGCACAGATTCAATGGAGCAAAGACGACACCCAGCTGTCGTTTTGGCTACGAGCGCCGTAACCACGTCCAACAGAGCAACATCAGAAGCCAAATAATAAGACGGGACGCGAATTGGCCCTGCAGCAGGTGTCTCGTCATGTCTCGTCGCTAGCTGGCGCGTTGATGCATTCTGCCACGCAATTCCATGGTCTACACACTTTTGATCGCACTTGTACGTGCACACTAGGAGGAAGCATGCCGCGACGGCGTCTCACTCGTCTGCACAATCGCGTGGCAAGCAGCGGCGCGCTGTGCACATTGTCGGCGCCGTGAGATAGATGGTTGAGGCGCGCGCACCCACCGGGTTGCGGCTTCTTCTCGCCGACAGATGGATAGAGGAGGGAGCCTATAGAGTAATTCTATATGCCCACGTGAGGAGTGGGCTCGAAAGTCGCGAGTGGTGGAGAAGGTGAAGCGAGAGAGAACTGACATGCGGTGAGCGCGTGGCAGGCGAGGGAGAGAGACGTCACTGCGCACTTCTAGGAGGCCGTGATCTACTCGGCACCGCTCCAACACCCGCGACGAGGAGAGCGGTGCGGACGGAAGGACAGCGTTACACAGGCTAGTCAAAAAGCTGCTTCACATTTAAAAAAAAAACTCGCAAGGTGATTTATGCATTCGCCTAGGACGACTTGAAGGTGAAAGCTATCGCTTCGTTTTTCTTCGGTCGATCTTTCTTCGCCCCTCTGCGAAAGCTTTCTGCACAAAACGTGGTTTCCCCCTGCCTCCGTGACCATAGAAAAAGTGAGGATGTCACGCGATGACGCCGTTAATGTCGTAGTCATAACATTTCATCACGTAGTGATTCTATAATAATGCCATCTGGTGACGTCACCACGTTATCATACTTTGCATCACTCGTCTTGACACCACCACCGACACCAACGGTGAATTTTCGCGCTTGATGCTTTCACCTTAACACCTTAAACCCGACAATCCGCTTTTTTTCATGCCGTCTAGTTGGTGCTAATTAACTTGTTGAGAAGCTTTTAAAGTTTGGTTAAGCTTCACAGCACTGTCACACATAGTGAGGCGGTGCACGCTTTACAGGAACGGACGTATGCACGCAAACACACAAGCACATGCACATGCACTATAAATGCAGGACAGGGCACCCTTTATGTGGCTTCATGGTTGATGATGCTTCGCTGACTTCACATGAGGCCCCTTCCAGCTGACTTCACGTCTGCACCAACCTTTATTTTGTCACGGCATCACTTTAATGTGTAACTAAACAAACTAGTGTCCTAGATCAGCAGCACAGGAGCTATTTTTACTCTGTTGACAGATAACAGCATCAATTAACAGCGTAGTTTGTGCGCTATACACCTCGCTCAAGTGATCATACCTAATGTATTTATTGCAAACCTACATCTCTCTTTTGTATGAGCAGAACCAACTGCAGGGAAGCTTTGACAGTTGTCAATGCACACCACGTAACAGAAGTTGTAGAACGTTTTCCACTACCCGTAGGTTCCAAGGTGTATCTAATGCGCGGCCAGACAACCTTCAACAACCCATGTGAGGAAGTTATTACTTTCAACCACTCACAGCACCGCTTCCTCAAGGTTACGGATACTCCGAAGACCCTTATGAGATTTGCAGCTGTGTTGCTGCCACGGGGTTCCATGGTTCTGCGTCGCCATCCACTGGTGGGTTCACTTGTGTCCGAATGATTCGCTTCTCGCCTTGCCTCATAGTGTCCTGCTCACACCCGACCTATTAAACTAAAAAAAACTTTTAACAAATATCTTATTGGTTGATTGATTGATATGTGGAGTTTAACGTCCCAAAACTGCCATATGATTTTGAGAGACGCCTTAATGGAGGGCTCCGGAAATTTCGACCACCTGCGGTTCTTTAACGTGCACCAAAATCTGAACAACCGGAACTACAGCATTTTCACCTCCATCGAAAATGCAGCCGTCGCAGCCGGGCTTTGATCCCGCGACCTGCGGGTCAGCAGCCGAGTACCTTAGCCACTAGACCACCATGGCGAGGCTTGGTGAAATATCTATCCTGCTGAATATTACCTTCTTGAAAGTAATATAGCCATTTGTACAAGTTTACTGAAGAATATGCAACGTACACGATATTTCATTGCATCAAAATGAGACAGGATGCCAAGTAAGACTTCATGCGATATGATCTTATTACGCCCTATAACAGTTTATAATGTTGTAAGCTCAGTAACACAATCTAAAAAATTAAGGCGCGTTGCAAACTTGTCGCAATTTTTTTAACCTTCGTTTTTACGCTCTTCGCAGTCATCAAGCAAAGCAACCCCAGAAAAGCGTTGGTACGCTGCTGCAGTCATCCAGCGAGCGTATTGACACTGCCGACGTGAAGGCACCCTCTGGTTCCACTTAAAGAACGTAAGGCGTTAACTTAATTCACACGCCTTCACCAAAATAACGTCCATGTCGGTTGTTTCCAGATGCGATATCCTTCTAAAGCCGATGCATCGCGATAACCCACCATGACTCAGAGGCGGCACACGCACCCAAATAGCCTTGTGCCAGTGAACATCGAGGTGAGGAACACGATATATCTGGACCAAATAAAAGCAATGTGGTACAACTTTCAGAAGAACTTTTCTAAACACTCACAAACATTGCATTAAGTTCACGTACGTTATCTTCCATTAACACTAAGACATGTCTAAATCGAACTGGAAAACACGAAGTGTTGCTAAAGATAACTTTTCGACAAGCGATCGCGTATTCAGGGATGCAACTTTACACAGCCTTGAAGAGAGCCAAATATTTATGCCTTTTTTGAGTTAACACAACAGCGATATCAATTTTAGAGCAATGTTAAGTATGTTCAAACATATGTTTTTGAAATTAAAAAAAAACTAAATTCAAATAGGTCGGTCGTGTTGCGGTCACAAAAGCATTTTAGCTTCGCGTATATTCGAAGAAGTCCACGAAAGTAAGGTAAATGTAATGAAAATGCCCAAGGGCCCTGTAAACCGCGGAGAGAGCCCTGGGGGTAGGCCCTTCATATAGCTGGGTTCTGACTTCGTTGCTTCAGCCAATTAATTTCCTGCACACTCCGCGGGTGGCATAAAGAGTGGCGGTACCGTTTAGCCAACTTTGTATACTGTAACGTCAGTACTCCAACAAATTGAGGATGAAACTTGCTCGATGGATATCGAACAGCCATGGTCGTGCGCGGATCGGCTATCACCGTAAGGTACGCAATGAGGCTACCCTGTACATTAATTCCACATCCTCTTCCCCGTTAACGCACGGAAATGGCCAACTAGTCAGCCTTCAACAAACAACGTGAACGCCAACGATGCTACCGGCGAATGCAGCCCGAAAAAGCACGCGAACTATGCGACGTTGCACGCAGACATGGACCCGAACGTTATGATGCTCCAGCCCATCGAATACACTTTCCTAGAAACAAAGTGAGTGACGCGAGCGAGCACAGAGGGATGTATACACATATGAGGTTTAAACAAGTTGATTGTATTCTTGCTGTACCCATGAGTAGGTTTTTTTTAAGAAAGTATTCGGCTTTCTTTTCTTACATTGCAATTATTTACTGAAGGCTGGTCTTTCAAGCGAAATGTGCAAACTTCTTGTTGCATATATATACACAATATATAAGAACACGCACATTGCGCATACACCCCTTGTAGTCCATAGAGTTTAGCAGGGCGCTGAAGAGGCAATAAGTCTCTCTTGATATTTCAGGTGGAACTGCATAAGCTTAACTAGCACCCCAGTACGTTTATTTCGAAACAATATAGCAATTTTATGTTCAAAAATATTCTATTTTGACAATATATCAGCCTCTTATATGGGCAGAGGAAGAGAGCAAAGGAGGAGTCGTCATTGATGAACTAGGCAATGCACCATAAGGGTACCAACACACCGCTCTAGAACACACGAAAGTTGATTCATTTCCAGTCCAATGCGCAGCAAAATGTGCACTTCTCACCACTAAATTGCCCAACATGGTTCAGGAAAACCAGCAACTGAGTTGTATTGGGTGTATTGATGCGACTCGTGCGAATACCTTTCCTACGCATGCAACAGGGCCACCATAATTTCTGCGTGCATCTCCAACCTAATGGAGCAAAATGCCAACGGCAGCGTTCGGTGCGAGTGCCTGATCACGTGTGCACCCGCATTGCCGGCGGGGCACGCAAGTGGCCCCAGCAGGCAACAGCTGATGACAGGGAGACCACACCGATTAAATTGACTTTAAAACGCAGGCTCTCCTTGGGACTGCGCATTACTCCCAAGTTGATGTCGTCTGGGTTTCCCCAGCTTAAACAGATGCAACAGCCGGGCGACCCACGCTTCCCGCTAATCTTGGTTATAGGCGGACTCGACCCACGAAACCCGCTGGATTCAGGTAACTCACACAGAAAATCGCGGCGTGTAGTCAACTTTTCACCGGGACGTATGCAGAATTTATTATTGGGAGGGGAATGAAGGGTGGAGTGGGCATTGGGTTTAATTATTATTTATGCATCTGACTAACCTCTCTGCCTTTTTTTTCTAATTTCTCTCTCTCTTTATGTATCTTCTCTTCTACGTCATTTTGCATTTTGTGTTTGTGTTTGTTCGTGTATAAGTACGCTAGCATAACAGAAGTATTCCAGCAAGAGAGGGGATGAGTCCCCCAATACACCACTCATTGGCTATGCCACTGCTTTTCACGAAGAACATTTCGATTTTGTTGCACACTAGGTACGACTGTCCTCAAATACCACCCTCTTATTGAGGATCGGTGGACACTGGTTAACCTTATGCCAGAGCTGAGAAGCTACCATGGAGCTGCTCACATTAATGACACCATCTTTGTGGCTGGTAAGCTGGCCCCATCGCCTAAATGTTTTACTAACACAATTTTATCCTTAATTTTAACCACAACGTTTGTGGTTCAGAAGGAACTTATAGTGCATTTCTAGTCCATCTTTTACTACTTGTGATAACTGATGTAATACTTCACTAATTAAGTTATTTTGAGTCCAAATAAGCTGAATAAAATTGATTGATTGATTGATTGATTGATCGTGGAAAGCGGCAACCTATTAGTCTGTTTATATTATGATTTTTCTCTTGCACGTTCTGCAACGAGAGACCTTGCGCCGACAACTGACTTATTCGTTACGAAGTGTTAGCTGAAAAAGCTGGATTTACAGAAGTAATTTTTTCAACAGGTGGCTGCTCAACATTCAACAGGAAAAGCGGTGACATGACCATAACAAAAACTACGTTTACGATGGACACTAAAACGGGCCGCGGGGAAAGACTGCCGGACATTTTGGATGAAAGGGCGTGCCATGCCTCTATATCAACAGATGGAGGAATAATTGTTTTTGGTGGAAGAAGACCCAATGGAAGGTAATTCAGGAAACAGCCTTGGTTAGCTCTCTCTTTGCACGCGAGAGGAGGGCAGGGAATGATTTAAAAGTGCCTGAATCATTACTAAATGGCAGTACAAAATATGCACACCTTTAGGTAGCGTACACCGCGCGCACTCCGTAAAATGTCCCCCATACAAATACTACAAAACAGCGATATGGCATTTTCTTCTGCAGCAAGAAAATGAAGTAACGAAAAATTCGGCATGTTCAGTAAAGTGTCGCTAGATAAAATGCGCGTAATCTTATGTTAGTAGACCCTAACAACACATTTTCACCAAACAATAGGTTTAACACAAAAGAACCAGCCCAGAAGTTCATCTTGAAAAGGGCACTGCACTAACTCCAAACTTGTAGTCATGATTAATGATTTGTGGGGTTTAACGTCCCAAAACCACGCTATGATTATGAGAGACGCCGTAGTGGAGGGCTCCGGAAATTTCTACCACCTGGGGTTCTTTAACGTGCACCCAAATCTGAGCACACGGGCCTACAACATTTCCGCCTCTATCGGAAATGCAGCCGCCGCAGCCGGGATTCGATCCCGCGACCTGCGGGTCAGCAGCCGAGTACCTTAGCCAATAGACCACCGCGGTGGGGCTCCAAACTTGTAGTCCAAGATCGGCCATGAAAAATGCGGAACCAAGTAAATAGGTGACCTTTTTCCCGACTACAGATGTAAAGAACTGTAGTAGCCTATATTCATGAAAAAAGCGAACTTTCTCTAACAAAGGTATGAAAACTCTAAGGAGAAGTGGTACACTCTTAAAAAAAAAAAGGGGGGGGGGGGGTTGTAGCACTTACTAAGTTCGGTTTACTAACTGCTTGTCACATATGTTACTAACCGGTTAGTAAGTGAAGTTAGTAACGCGGAGGTTGATAACCGTTACTACCTCCACCGTTACTAAGGCAGTTAGTAAAGGATACTAACGTAAGTAGTAACGGTTGCTAACAAAAAAAAATCTACTAGCCACGATCATTTTGGCTCGCGAATCCCCCGTTTTATAACAGTCCTATTCGCTAGCATCAACATTTCGATATATCACTGATGTAATTAGGCACATAATGTCATAAGAGAGAACAGCACACATACACAACTTCACGCGAGAAATACAGTTCGTAAACGGTTCCATGGAGTATTTATAGCCCTTACTTTGCGGAACGCAGCTGGTGCCGGTGGGCGGCTATGCTGTAGGATGTATAAATCAGGTAAGACACCTCCATTTGTACAACGTAGTTTTTTTTTAGGTGAGCGAGTTAACGTAGTGTGGGACTCTTAATCCAGCGTATTAAGAAAAACAATTATCTATGTCTATTTTGCATAATACCAATTCAACACGGCCCAATATTGAAGACATAAGACTGGGTAGTAAGCTTGCATATATTGCATCAATGAACTTGAATGCATCCTCGTGCTACTAAACAGGTTTTTAGACGCTGATAGTAATAACCTATTTCATTTCATTTCATTTTATTACCTTAAAGACCCCCTTGAAGGGGTATTACATAAGGGGTGGGTACATATATGAAAACGTGAAAGCCATTTTTTTTTTTTTTACAATGCAAGGTAATTTGTTACGGTGTTCAAAAAAGTGGTAGGACAGGTTATGGCGGTGATTTCGTTAGAAAGGCCGTTCCAGTCCGTAGCTGCACGAAAAAAGAATGAGGACGAAAAAGTGACGGTGCGCGTACGCGGCCGCTCAACTTGTTGCGGGTGACCAGTGCGATGGGAGATGCGTGCCGGAGGAAGAATGTATGGTGGCCTGCCGAGTGAGCTGTAAAAAAACTTGTGAAAAAGGGAGAGACTAGAAATGCGGCGACGAGATGCAAGCAATGATAGGCCAGATTCTGTTTTCAGTGCTGATATGCTGACGTCGTAAGAGTACGTAGAATGAATAAATCGTGTGGCTCGATTTTGAAGTGACTCGAGTTGATTGATGAGATATGCTTGATGCGGGCTCCAAATGGCTGATGCGTATTCTATCTTCGTCCTTACGAGAGATTGATAAGCTAGTAATTTGACATTATTAGGAGCGTGACGCAAATGGCGTTTTAAAAACCCGAGTGTTTTGTTAGCAGATGCAATGATGTTCGTAATATGCGTTGCCCAGGTTAAATCGCTACAAAGGGTTACTCCGAGATATTTATAGGAAGAAACTAATTCGAGGTTTGTGTCAGCAATTTGGTACGGGAATACTATCGGATTTCGACGGCGGTGAAAGGAAACAGTTTTACATTTGTTAGGGTTGAGTTCCATTAGCCAAAGGTTACACCAATCCTGTAAGCTTAGTAAGTCAGTTTGAAGAGACGTGTTATCCGAAACGTTGTTTATTTTACGATAAATAACGCAGTCGTCTGCAAACATGCGTATGTTAGAAGATACATGTAATGGTAGGTCATTAATGTAAATCAAAAACAGAAGCGGGCCTAGGACAGACCCTTGAGGGACACCTGAGGTTACGGGGGTAGTGTTAGACATTTGATTGTTGACGGAAACTGATTGCGAACGATTAGTTAAGAATTCTTTAATCCATGCTAATACGTCATAATTTAAATTCAACGCGGCAAGCTTTAGTAGTAGGCGCTCATGAGGAACTTTGTCAAATGTCTTTGCGAAATCGATGAAGATGGCGTCAGTCTGAAGGTTAGAGTCGAGGTTAACATGCAGGTCGTGAACAAACATAGCTAGCTGCGTTTCACACGAAAACCCTTTCCTAAAGCCATGCTGCGCAGGATGAAAAAAATTATTGGAATCAAGGAAGTCCATGATATGTGTGTAGATGATATGCTCGAGGAGTTTGCAGGGTACGCTGGTTAATGAAATGGGACGATAATTTAACGGTGATTGTTTGTTACCTGATTTGTGGACTGGAACGACCTTTCCGTGCTTCCAATCTGGAGGCAGCATTCCTGTTGAAATTGATTGTGAAAATAGTAGACACAGATACGCTGCACAGATATGTTTAGTATTTTTCAGGAGTTTGGATGTAATGTTGTCTACACCAGCTGAAGAAGAAAGTTTGATTTTGTCTATTAGTGATGAAATACCGCTGGAAAAAAACGTAATTGGTGGCATGGTACATTCAAAGTTCGCATGAGGGATGGTAAATGACAACTCAGTCTCTTGGGTGAAAACGGATGAGAAGGCGGCGTTAAACACGCGTGCACATTCCGTGTCACTTAGGGCATCCCCTAACTCATTACATAGTGTTATATTGCGCGTGTCCTGTGGGTTTATGACTTGCCAGAATTTTTGGGGGTTGTTCTTAAGCATGTTCGGTACTTCCGAATGGAAGAATGAGTGTTTGGCGTGACGTATGGCTCGCAGATAAGCAGATTCGGCGGTTTTGTACTTGTTCCATGCATCATGGGTGTTACGGGACTTGGCTGCGCGGAAGGAGCGTTTTTTCTTGTTTTCTAATCGTTTCAGTGCTTTATTGAACCAGGGTTGGGCGGTATTAGGATTGATGTTAATTCGGGGAATGTTTTTATCAACCATTTCGTTTAGCTTATCTCTGAAAATCAACCAGTTTTCGGTTACATTATGATGAGAAAAGGCAGTGTCAAAAGTGGAATAAAAATTTGTTAGTTCAGAGTTAATTGCTTCGTAATTTCCTTTATCATACAAACGGATAGTTTTTTTTATGGTCGGGGCTAAAGCAGGCTTAATCACGAAGTCAGCATGAATGACTTTATGGTCACTGATTTCAGGCAGATATGCAATGGAGGACACGCACTCGGGATGGCTGGTTAATATAAGATCCAGAATGTTTTGGCAGTTATCGGTAACGCGGGTTGGTTCTGTAAGAACTTGAGATAGGTTAAAGTTAAGGCATACATCAAGGAAGTCGTTCGATTCCCTTGACGTAGCCGCTGGTGCAGGCGGGCTTGCCCAATCGATATTAGGAAAATTAAAATCGCCAAACAGAATTACATGCATGTTAGGGTGTTTGGTCGTTATTTCGCTTAGTATATTATTGAGCTTAGAAGAAAAATCGGGAGTACTGTGAGGGGGCCTATAGCAAACGCCAAGTAAAACTGAGTGCGGTGCGGCATGGCATTTAAGCCACAAGATTTCAAGGTCGGACACAATGTTTATAGACGAACAGGATATGTTGTGACTGACAACCTATAAAGGTTGTTTAACAACTTCTATAAATACATGCATCACAAAAAGTTACTAACAGTGCGCAAAACTTAGTAACCGCTGCAACATTCAAGCGTTTTCTAACGTGGGCAGTAAAAAGTTAGCAATGGCCCAAGAAGGTTTGTAACAGCTGCTGTTACTAACGTTTTGCTCATGGTTACTAGGTTTTTACTAAATTTTTAAGAGTGTAGTTTACACAGGCAATGTTTCGGTTTCTTTCAAAAATTACAGTATTCTTTAACATGCGGTGGAAAAAGTACAATTTCGTTCACAGCATAACACGATGAAGTTGCAGA